AATCTAGTTGTGATAAGGCTACTTCTGTAAAACATTTTTAATATTTCTGTTGCAACCCATTTCTTGTAAAGCTAGGTGTTTACTGTCTTACCGGGAAGTTCTGCTTAGAGTCTAGCTGGAGTAGCTGAAGTATGATTTTTAAAAGTGAGTCTGTCCGGCTGAGTCTGCCCGGCCTAGGGTCTGGGCCGAGATCCTTACACTGTCTTTTCTTTAACCTTTGCCATTCTAATTATAATGCATCTTGATGTGGGCCTCTTTGGGTTCATCTTGTTCGGGACTCTGTGCTTCTTGGACTTGTATATCTATTTCTTTGGCCAAGTTAGGAAAATTTTCAGTCATATTTCTTCAAATAAGGTCCTCAATCCTTTGCTTTCTCTCTTCTTCTTCCAGTACCCTATGATGCAAATGTTATCTTGATATTGTCCCACAGGTCTCTTAAACTACCCTCATTTTTTTTTGGATTCTTTTTTCTATTTGTTGTTCCGATTGGGTGTTTCCTGCTACCTTGTCTTCCAAATAATTGATTTGATCCTCTGCTTCATCCAGTCTGCTGGTGATGCCTTCTAGTGCATTCTTCATCTCAGTGATTGTATTCTTCACTTCTGACTGGTTCTTTTTTATGGTTTCTATGTCCTTTTTTATGCTTGCTATCTCTGTGTTGAAGTTCTCACTAAGTTCCTTGAGCATCCTTATAACCCTTGGTTTGAACTCTGTATCTGGTAGTTAGCTTGCCTCCATTTTGTTTAGTTCTTTTTCTGGAGATTTTCCCTGTTCTTTCATTTGGGATGCATTTCTTTTTTCCCTCACTTTGGCTGCTTTTCTGTTTGTTTCTATGTATTAGGTAGATCTGCTATATCCCCCAGTCTTGGCCACATGGCCTTATGTAATAGGCGCCCTGTGGGGCCCAATGGCACAGTCTCTCTGGTCACCTGCACTGGGTGCTTTAGGAGTGTCCCTTGTGTGGGTGCGGGTGTGTGTGCCCTCCTACAATAGTTGAGCCTTGGTTGCTTATTGGCATATCAGTGGGTAAGTTTGATGCTCAGGCTGATTGGCTGTGGGGTTGTGCTACCTCCATGGCTTACAGGCTGCTGTGCAGAGGGCTTACTCCACTGAGTGGGATTTGCCCCAGCAGGCTCTGGTGCCTGTTGAGACCACCCTTTGTGTGTGCCAATTGTGGGGCGAATTTTGCAGAGCTCTGCTGTGGTCTCAAGCCAAGCTCCAAGTATGTTGGTTCTGGAGCTTCTTGTGAGGGGCTCTGATGCAGGCCCAGGTCAGCCATTGCCCGTGACCAGCTGGAGAATACCTGGTAAGTGCTACAAAGCAACCTGTGGTTGTTTGCTGCCTATGCTAACCCTGGAGGTGCGTGGGAGAGGCCACACTAAGAACTGAGGATTTCTGCCACCAGTACTGGGCCTGGGGTAGCTCCACAAAATGCCAGGACATTCTGAGGCTTGAGGCCACCTGCCAGCTCCCTTAAGGTTCAGCCACTGACAAAGCCTCATGTGGTATGCAGTTGGGTGAGGCAGGGTCTCAGGGAATCACTAGAGTGAAAAGAGTTGTGGTCACCAGGTTAATATAAAATCTGGCTTTGTTCCAGTGCTGAGCCTGGAGCTACTCAGCAAAAGTCTCAAAGCACACCGAGGCCAGTCGCCGCCTGCCTGTGGTCTGTCAGACTCTGAAAGTTTTTCAAGAAAGAGTAATGCAGAGGGTGGGGTGGGAGGTGGAGGTGGCTGCTCTTGGAGAAAGTGCTTCCAGCATTGGGTGGGGTGGGTACCCAGTGAGTCAGCAGGGTGGAGCTGCAGATCTAACCAGACCAATCAGATTCAGATTTGACCATAAGCATAGGGGGTGGGCTCAACACAGGAAAGATGGCGCCAGCCTACTGGATGCACTGGAGCAAGGCCCCTCCCAGGGAAAATGCCAACTGTCCTCTAGCCTTTAACCAGAAGCAACACAACTCGGTTTGCCCCCTCCCCCCATATGTCTCCAACACCCCTGAGTTACTGTTCCTCCACTGGAATGCAAGGTGAGTGCCTAGGAGTGAGAGAGCCCATACTCAGGCCCTTTAAGAGGACACTTGGGTTTCCCCCTGCCTTCTGTCCCACCTGGATGGTTGGTATCCCTGCTGTTTTTCACAGCCAGATGTTGTGGGGCATTGTCTTCCTTGCACCAGTACTCTGGGCTAGAGAGTCCAGTATGGGGCTGTGGCCCCTTGCTTCTCTTGGGGGAACCTCTGCAGCCGAGATATTCCTCCCGGTTCTCAACTGCTACATGAAGGTTTGGGGTTAGCCAGTTCTGCATCTCCGCCTCTCCTACCAGTCTTGACATGGCTTCTTCTTCATATTCTTAGTTATAAAACTGTTCAGCCAGACATCAGATGGTTCTTCATATTGATTGTTCTATAATTTAGTTGTAATTTTAATTTGTTCATGGAAGGAAGCAGGCACAGTGTTTATATCCTCTTGCATCTTGAATTTTCTCTAACACAAATTTTATACTACTATTTCTTGTAATACCTTCCAGTGTTCACAGATGGTGTTATCTCCAAGTGCGATTTAGGAAAAAATGCATTTTGGGGCAAAAGGGACAGTGGGCGTCATTCACCCTTGTTGGCCTTGCTTCAGTCCAGCTTTCAATTCTTTTTTTTTTTTT